TATGAATCTTTTGGACACAACATATTCTTACAAAAAATAAGCCTTTACAGTTGCATAATAGTAAGTTTATATAAAAACAGCATATAATTTTTGTGTTCTATAGCACTAATAAGAATTGTATTGGACATTGTGATGTAGGATATTTAATAGTCGGCCTGGCTCGACTATAATGTTTTCACTTCTTTGCAGAGTAATTAATTTAGATTTTATTAGAGATTTCTTTATTTTGTGAATAATTCCTTCGAAAGTAATTTTATTTTTTTTTTTATATAATATTTTTATTAAATATAACAATCGTTTCATTACTAAAAAAGGTACATGAGCTGCCTCCTGAAAAGCTAAAAATCCGCGAAGTTGTCCATATTGATATCGCCCATGATCCCGTTACACCAGCGGATTATAAACTTGATGAAGATCCCACAAAGTATTTTTATTAAAATATATATATAAATAGGAAAACTTATTTTGAATTTTTGTTTTTTTTGTTTTTAGATTTCAATCGACAAAAACCGGTCGTGGACCATTGGTTGAATCCGATTGGAAATTAAAAGTTAAACCCGTAATGACTTGTTATAAATTGGTTACGTGTGAATTTAAATGGTTTGGTCTTCAGGGAAGAATAGAAAATTTCATACAGAAATCTGAACGACGATTATTCACAAACTTCCATCGGTAAGTATAATGGTGAGGTTTAAGTAACTGATACACTTTTGGATTTACTATCGAAGATCGTTTTTATAGTTGCGCCTATAAGCCATACGCAGTTAAGGGGCACGTTGACAACTTCATCTGAATAGCCGAGTAGATAAAAATCGTCATTAAATACCAAATCTGTGTCCGCGGGTTTAAATACCGCTACGTTAGAGCATACTTGATTGTAGCTATGGCACTGACAAAGCCAGTTAACTGTATCGAAAGAGGTCGAGCGATACACTCGTAAACTTGTCAAACACAGATTATATGTGGGATGAAATTAGGTTAGGTTGAAACGACTTGACAAAACTGTTAGACCGAGTCAAACGTGTCTTCCAAAGCAGCTAGGTAGAATGTCTTGCTCGTATTTAGAACAAACGAGTTTTTATTTTCACAAATTCCGTTCTGAAGATACGACAAACACAGGACGTCCTTCCACCTTTGATGACAACCTTTTAAAGACAATATTGAATCAAAATCCACGCTAATTAATAAGAGGAATAGCAAAAAGTTTGAATACCACACAATCAACTGTTAAATTAGTATAATTTTGTTATTCAATGAAAACAAAACAAATGTCTAATAAGAAAACGGAAGTTATTTATGACTCGACCTTATATTTTCTAAAATATATTAATATGGACAGCATTTTATAAGTAAATCCCACAAAGACGGATGGACAAATCATGACGTATACATTCGCCAAAAGCAGTTAACTGGTTAAGTGAGGCCCTTTATGGCATCTTTGTCACCCTCACCTACATATCGCTGCATAGGTGCGAGATAATTCCGAACTAAAAACTATTTCCGATCCTTACAGTTCGGACTAGGGTTTCAAGAGTTAACCTAATCTTGGAACATGTGATATGAATCATTCCATTAGATTAGTTTGGTAGCTTGGTAGAAAGAAGAGAAGAAGGAGACGCTTTGACGCTACGAGTATCGAACTAAAATTTTCATTTCTTCCATTAAATAGATAAAAATCGTCAATTTTTTTTATTAATAGTGGGCTTGTCGACGTTTCGCTCAAGTTTATGTTAAAAGCTATATGTCGGTAGAAGAAGGCTTTTGGTGAATGGTGCACGGCAAAAATGTAATCTTTTTTTTCACTTTTATAATTACAGTCAAGTATTCTGTTGGATGGACCGTTGGCATGGCCTAACAATGGACGATATACGTGCGATTGAAGAAAAAGTAAAAGAGGAATTGGATAAACAACGCAATGAAGGCGAAGTGCGTGGTACTAGAGCCGATTCGGATTAGGATTATCTCCTATAAATTAAAATCGATAAGGCTTTCGTTCATATTATTAAAACAAGAGTTTTTAAGATTAAAAACAGCAACAACAACAACAACAACAACAAACAGAAAACAGCCGAATAGAATAACATTTAAACAAATCAAACAATCGTAAAGTAAAAAAGTAAAAAAAAAAAAATTATAAAAGAAAACAAAAGAGAAAGAATTAAAAAAAGAATACAAGAATCCCTCCTTTTCTAAGCTAAATGCCTGGCTCTCTCATTTTGAAAAACAATTTATATATATAATAATGTCTTCTAATGAATTTTGTTCCTTTATATAAATTTTTCTCTTCTTTTCTTTTTTATGTTTTTTATGTTTTTTATTTTTCTCTTTATCTTGCAAGCAAACTATTTAATTACTTCTATAATTATGTTAAATATAATTTACTGCATTAAAATAAGAAATTGTAAAAGGAAACACCAATTGTCCGAAAGCAATAGTTTTTTAAGACGTAAATAATTTAAAAGAAATTTTTAAATAAAAATGAATGAAAAAAAAAAAGAATAAATAAATAAACAAAAGTTTATAATAAAATTAAATACTATTGTGCACGTGTAAGCAAAGGCGTTTAGTAAGTTTTTAGTAAGTTTTAACATTTTACTTACTTATACGAAGGACCGACACTACTGAGACATCATTACCTAGAGACAATTAGTTCGCTTGTCATTCATCAACAATACAAATAATTTTTACACACACCACCAAAGCGTGTGGTAATATTAGATTTGCATTTCCTTTTCCAATCCACAGAAATATGCTTCAGAGACCTCAATATTGACATATATTCCTGTTCCTGTCTGCCTGCTGTCCTGTCTGTTACTGCAAAGATTGCAGTTTCATAGTTGGTTACAAATAGAATTGGAAAGCAAATATTTAGTTAAATCTCATTCTAAGAATGGGCATAAAACTGATCCCATCCACTTATCAGCAAGCAGTATTGCGAAGCTAGAACTTAAAAAACTAGTTTCCGGCGCCATTTGAAACGTCAGTGCAAAAGATGTTTTAATCGACCGATTACTATCACAACATATCGTAATTGTCCTCTGCTTCACCACAAACTGATTATAATTTTTTTTTCCCTTTATTTATTTATTTATTTGTTTATTTTTTTTACTTTTTATAATGAAACAGTTTTTAAGTTTAATTTCAGCATTTTGTTTTTTAAGTGAGTTCGATGCTGATTGCAAAAAAAAAAAAAAATGAAATATTTAAAAAGAAAATTCTTATAACACAAAGAAGAAAAAAAAAACTTACAAAACATATGTCCATAGAAGCATAATTAGTCACATCAAAGTTTGATAAAATTTATTATTTGAAAAATATCTATAAATACATGGATATATTTATATATATACATATATATATATATATATACATTTGTTTCTTATTGTGTTTTATAGAAAATATCCAATTTTAAATTCATTTAATTAATTTTCAGCTAAAAATTTGCATTACAGCAATAAGAAAATAAATAAGTAAATTAATAAATAACTAAATGAATAAATAAATAAAATTATAAACAGAAACTGACCTCATTTAAAGACACTCACTCACACATTAACCTAAGTGCTCAGTAAAAGCCTTTCTTATCACCACTAATACTAACTATATTAAAAACGGAAAGAAAAGATAAAAACGTCAATGTTTAGAAAGTTAGTAACAAAAAAAAAAAGAAAAAAAAAAAAAAAGAAAAGAAATTGAACCGATATGAATATTTGAATATTTTTATTTTACAAAACCTAATAAGAGAGAAATAAGTTCAAATATTATTCTTTTATTTAAAAAAAAATTAAAAAAAAAAAAAGAAGAGAAGCAAAATCCATAATGGTATATATATATAAAAAAAAAAAAAAAAAACAAATAAAATAATTTAATATCAAAAAAAAATTATTTCATTTTAAAGCTAAAAGTTAATAATACGTTGAAATATTATTATTCTTCTACTAAAAACAAAAATTAATCAATAACAATACATAAAAAAATTTCATTCAATTTAAAGCAAAAATCTAATGTAATGATGGAAAAAAAAACAATGACGTTATTTAAAACAAATTAAATATCAGGTGTAAAGTTTATTTCTTTTTAAAGAGTTTTCCCATTTTTCCAATAAAGTTATAATAAATCAGTGAATAACCAACAACAATAAAATAAAACGCAACACAAACAGTTAGCATAGACAGACAAAACCTGCAGACAGTGACAGAAACACCTCTCCGCACTTAATATATATATTAATATAGCATAGATGAAACATAATAATAATAATAATAATAATAATAATAATAATAATGAAATTATGTATGAATGTCATTTTAATTACAACAAAAATTTAATTTAAAATTGAAAAAAAAAAAGAAGAAAATTCTGGAAAGAGAAAATAAATTCCCGATATAGATAAATAAAATTGAAAAAGAAAGCAAAAAAAAACCTCAATCAATGAGTAAATTGAAGTCAATTTTAATGGATTCTAAAATTTTTAATATTCTAGTCGTGGAAGGTCATAGGTGGATAGTATTATTGTAGCATTATAATCGTTCAAATATTTGTTGAGGCATTTACTTTTTTTTTGTCTATCGCCTATATATTGAATATACACCCAACTCTTCTATTCGCAAGGCGGGCATATGTAGGGGCAAATTGTAAAAAAAATGCGACATATGGTAAATTTGGACGTATCTTTAAAAAATCGTGTAAAATGAAAAAAAGTGCAAAGATAGCAATAACGAAATCCATTTTATATATTTATAGAGAAAAAAAAAAAAAAAAAAATTAAATTTACTGTACAGTGATGAGAAAATTGAAATTGAACTTGGGAATATTTTTATTAAAAATTGAACCATGACATGCTATCTATCATCAATAAATAAGTCAGATATCTCTAGTGCTAGATATCTCTAGTGCTGTCTAGTAAGGCGTGAGCCAAAATTAGAATTACAGAGAAACTTTTTTTTTGTTCGATTCGCGCTAGAACGAGAAATTCGCAAAAGTGTACTTCAATGTTTTATTTAAGAATCGAGTAAAAAACACAGTGTGCAAAAAGGTTTGGGTGTACAATGAAAGCTTGCAAGTAATGCAGGAGTTCACTAGCCACTTTGTGGGGATGGCTCGTAATACATGTGTCTGCGATGGTGGTTATGAATATAGGAAGGAAAGAGGAAACTTGCACTGAAAACTTCAGTCAATACCTTGACTCCTTAGCCATCGCAGTGTTCTTAAAGGTATTCCAGAGTACTCTTACCGCAACAATTAAAGCGAGTCTTTTATTTCATTTATCAACGCTGTAAACTGCGCATGCGCAAATGTCCCGTTGGTTCCAGAGTACTTCAACGTGAAGTACACATGAATCCCCTAACTACAATTAATAATTATTTTTCCATAGCATTGCATTGTATTTCATACAGAGATCACGCCCGATAGAATAGCGTTAGCCTAGAAACTTGTAACTCGCGTGCCTTCTATAATCAGGCTTTGAGCGAGCGGGTTAACAATTAAACGTATTGGATAACCATAGAGCAAACTTATTAGATATCGATCAAATCTTTTAGATAACCTTGGTGAGTGTGTTAGTTAATCATCAAACCCTTTAGATAATTTTAAAGCGAGCGTGAAGTGGACGAGGGTACATACACGCGGCATTTCACATTTATCGGTAATGTATTCATTTCGCGGTTTGGGATTCATCGCATGCGGATTGCTGGGAGGTAAACGTTGCTGTAAAGCTCTTTCTTTTTTTTTAAGAAATCTTCCAATGGACAAATAGGTTAGCAGCAAAATTAAATCAACTGGGATCACTTTTGATTTCTTCAGAGATGAGCGATTGCACGCTTAGAACGCTTACAAATCTTTTGTTTATTTTAAATTAAATCCGGGTCTAACACCCAATCAACCAACACCAAGAGAACTTGTCACAATAATCAATATTTATTTACCTAGGAGGTACGAATTTTTTCTTGAATATAATTTGTGTGGAGGTATTATAAATTTTCCTTTTTCTCATTTTTACTTCGTGTTGTTAGACGGCTTTAAACCAACCAAAAAAATTGTCGAACTTCCGCTTCGTCGGACGGTCGACAGTGTGGTGGTGGTGGGGCACCGCCTTCTATAAGATCTTGGCGTAAATTACGCATTGCTGTCATATTTGATTCGGCAGCTTTAACAAAATCTATAATACGTTCCGGATAATGTTCACCGATAATGCATTCCGATCTTTTTTGTTCCGATAAAGGCATACGCCAGGGTTCGTGTCTGCCAAAAAAAAAAAAAAAAAAATAAATTTTTATAATTTTTTTTTTGAAATTATTTACAAATATACAACTCACATATACTCTTTGGGTACGTGGGCTAATTCCGGTACATATTGTTTAATATATTGACCGAAAGGATCTAAACGTTTAGCCATAGCCAATGGGCAAGTAACTAACGATGAATCCAATAAGCGTTCAAAAGCCGAAGAACTTACCCACATCCAATTGCCAGCGCATACTGACCAATCAGCATCGAGAAGATATTTAAGAAAATGTTGTAAACCATGTTCCCAATTAAACCAAAGACCACCGCGTGTCAAAAATGTCGCTACCGTATTGCGTAAGGTATGATGTATCCAACCTTCCGCTAATAGCTGACGCATCGCAGCATCGACTAAAGGAAAACCAGTTTTTCCCAATTTCCAACTTTCTAGCTGTTCATCGTTGACTGGGGCCCAAGGTATATTTAAGCAAATCTCATTTTCTTCCATGCGATCGTAGTATGGATTATTAACCGACATGGTGTAAAAGTATTCGCGCCAGATTAATTGTCCCGTGATATGCGCTCCACTCATTATTTGATAGCCAAACATTTTGACATGTTGTTGAACATCTTCAAACAGATCGTGTACCGCCCAGTAGAATTTACGTACCGATAAGCAGCCAAAACGTAAATGAGGGCTCATCGATTTCGGTGTTTCCAAGATATTAGGATTCGCTTGATTTGGCAGATAATAGCCGCGTTTAAATGCTTCGCCTTCAACTTTAAGGCGTTCTTCTAATAAAATCAAGGCTTCAGTTTCGCCGCCCTTCCATTTTACCAATGCTAAACGATTCAAGTCCTCGGCGAAGACATTAAATTGTTCCGGTTGCGGGATCTTGAAAGGAAATTAATACGAATCAAATCAAATTCAAAGGAATTCCTTACGCGAAAGTACTTCTGTAAATCCAGGTAATTTCTCTAGAATTGTTTCGTTTATATTTAATATATTAACTCCTGTCCAATTAGGATTTTCAGCTGGTCGTGGTGGCAGACCTATCACCTGAACCGTATGCTGAAATTATTGAATACATTTTTCAATTACGTAAAATTGATTTCTTTTTATTGCAAAATTACTAAAAACATTTGATAGGTTAAAGGTGGAATGCCGCCATTCGTTTGGATGACTTGTCGGGGATTCCATAGAGTATGGGAAATTTTCTCCACCCATTTTATTCCCAATTCGTTGCACAACTCCTTCACATCATTGTCACGTCGATTCCATATTGGTTCGCAATCTTGCTCGACGCACAACTTATTTATGCCAAAACACTCATGCAATTCTTTAAATATTGTGGTGGGGTTGCCTTGGAAGGTGTATAAACGCCCCCTCTGGGATCGAAATTGATCGTCTAGATCCCGCAGCGAATCCAATAAAAATCGTAAACGATTGTAGCCCGTACATTTCGTACCTAGAAGAAGAAATGGAGCAAAGCAAATTTAACTATAATTCTTATTGGATGGCTGTTGAAGCTGGCCTTTTAAGCGCGTTTGACTAGGTTGGATGACGAATCGATCTCATGATAGCTTCAGCGGCTTGAACGAAGGTGTACTGTTCTTGTGGCAGTGGTCACGTTGCGTTTACATCTAGATTAGTATAGATTTTGAAATTGTACGCGTGTCTTGCTCAAGATCAATTGTAGCTTGACCGCTTGACTTAGCAGAAAATAGCAAAAAAAAGTCGGATAACTTTGCTCTCCAGGGAATAGAAGACCATACGAAATGGCAAAAGATCACTTATTGCATGCGATAGTTCAGACAAGAACGAGCCTATATTCGTAACACTTTCAAAACGATAGGAAAGCGAAAGATTTTGATTTCATGGCGATACGGATTCATTTTCCAGCAAAAGTAAAGTAACAGGAAAAGTTCACTTCAATCAATGCTTAAAAAAAACTAGGCCGCCCTTGCTAGAAGGCTTTTTAAAAATGTCTTCTGAACCTAATTAAACTCGTCGTGGCCTATACGTTTACGTTACGTATATATATTTTTTCCAATTTTTGAAAACTAATTGATGTAAACTTTTTCGAACCACTGTAAAAGTTTACTTTGAAACTTTGTATACAAAGCTTAAAAACGTAAATCTTAACTACGACGCAAATGAATGATTTAATATTTAAGTCCAAGTTTAACTTACCGGCACTTTCGCCATCAAATATGAATATGGGTACCAAAGCAATGCCTTTTTCACGATCGGCTAAGGCCTCCAATAAAGCAGGATTGTCGTGCAATCTTAAGCCGTGGCGAAACCAAAGTACGTTTGCGGACATTTTAAATGAAATGGAAAAGTTATTTATTGCCAAAGCATTGCAAGAACTCGTTTCCGACTCTCGAAGCAATACGTCTTCATTCGCCAACAACTTGTTGGAAACTATTGCTTGCGAGCGCTTTACGCTTTTTTTTAAGATGAATTTAAACTTTACTCACTTATGTAAGTTTTCTTCTTTTTTTTTTTTTTTCTATTTACACACACACATTCACATGGACAACAACAGGGGAAATATGCTATTCATCCATTTAACCCACCTACCCTTAGTATTTATAATGCTTAGATTGCAGAAAGTTTCAATTGTAGAGTAAAAATTTCTATGAATTTGCGGCATAGTATGAGGTGAGGGAAATGAAAACAAGAAAAGCCGAATATACGAGAGAGAACGAGAGCACAGGGGACCATGAAATTCTACTTTATGCTGTTTTGGTTTCAATGATAGAACATTTGGGAGCTTTGCACGCAAAAAAAAAAAAAAAAAAAAATAAAAAAGAAATTGAAAAAGCAAAAACAACAAAAAGTAAAGCTTTTAAGCGTTAAAAAATTGCAAAAATTTTTAAATAGCTTATCGAGACACAGGCAAGCCTCTACGTCATAGAAAATATTTAATTGTTAGGCGAATAAATTGATCGCACTTGGTAGTAAACAATCTGCCTTGTATAAGCAAATCGTATCTATCTGTCATTCTATCCTCTGATGGCAATCGGGACATGTTTCCCTGTTCCTCTTTTAGGATTTTCTATCTCTGCAAGCTTCATAGCAAAATCATCTCAATCATCTTACATCAAAAATGCATAGGTATGCAGGAGGAACATATTTTTCTTTTAGTAAAAATTCTTATCAATCGCAAGATTTTTATTACGATTAATCCAATTATGTTAAATTCCGCATATCACTGGAAATTCTTTATGTCAATCGTTTTCTCGTTTACATTTTGCACATTTCTCCAGTTACGCTCATAAGGTGAACTTACAATGCTTAGGCATCGACTTGCTGAATGCCTTAAATCACGGGGAAAATTTAAATATAGATGAATAAATGAACGAATAACACCGAGCCGGTAATAGCCGATGAAGTCTTATAGTCAATTCGTAAAGAATATTTTCCGAGTCGTAGGAGAATTAGAAAAGAAACTCATTCGCAACGTCTCAACGCTTAATGCATGGCTGGCGAAAACAATCATAGCAAGCCGGACAACACGATTTAACGCCATCTCCTGCGTCAATGTCACTAAACAGCTATTCATTGCATAAGTCATGCCCGTTAGACTATCAACACAATACCCCGGAATCTATATCACTTGATGGCATTGAGATTACATTAGATCCTTATGCCGCAAAATATCTTATGTTAACCATTAAGAGATAGAGTACGACATGGATGTCACTTCACTTGTGACTGAGTCTGTTACTGGTTCATCAGTATGTAGGGTATGCACCCTACAGTGTTATTTGATATTGGACACAGGTTCTAATACCGTACGATTTAGCTCCACGGATGATAAAAGATTTTCAAGATGCTAGTCTGGAAGAGTTTAAAGGGCCTGATAAAAGTTTGGATCTAATAGTTAACCAACCCCGTTTTCCGTTAATGCCTGAACCTACAATAATGTAAGCGAACCTTGCAATTACTACTACACTTTCTTTTTTTTCTCTATGTATTTTTTACTATATTTTATTTATTTAATTATATTTATAATAAGAAGCGTTTTTCGCCATTTCAATTTTTAACTAATCCATCTAGACAACGAATTCAAAGATACTTTAAGAGCCTAAAAAAAAATGATCAAGTATTTCTAGAAAACATCTAATAGTCACCGAAAATATAACAAAAGCAAATGAAATATATATGGGTAAGGAATGGTGTGGTTTCTATGTTGAATTCGCCTATATTTTCCAAGTGCTTAGAAGTGTTTAGAAGTGCGGGAGAAACGCGATTGCTTGTCTCAAGACCTCTAAGCAACAATTGCCTTCATAAATCATGCTCACTAGTGTATGGAAACGGTACTCCTCGATCTATAGCACTCGAAGGTATTAAGCTTACTCCTTACACCGTAAAGTATTTTTTATTGGCCATTGGAGATCGTATACGACATGGATTTTATCCACATTTAAAGCGCAACATCTCAGTTTTTGTTTCCAGTTTTTCTACTTGAGTCTATTTTTGTTTTTTTGATTCCATTTTTCGTTACTTGCTTCAAGTTTGATTTATCGCAGTCGTTGGGGTTTTTAAAAAGAGTTTTTCACTGCAGAAAGCTAGATTTCACTTTAGCACCTAGTTTCTGCGCAGCAGATTGAACTGGAAGCGCAGAGGCCTACCACGAAAGCTGCCGTCGAATGAGACCAAAAAATCTACAATTAATCCGGAGCTCAAGACACAAGTCAACCGTTTTAGTTAGAAATTCCGGTTGGGTAGTTGTCTTAACGTGGAAGTGCGGCTTACCAGAATCAAGCGAGCTAACAACATGTTCATGCGTAATAATCTTGCTTATTATATGGATTTATATCTAAATTAGGGATAATGACGACGACGTTAAGTACATGAAAGGCATTGAAGTCATTATTATTAACGGCAGTAACACTTAATTGAAAATGACAACTAACGGGTAATCTAATAAGAGGTAAGTGATGGAAAGCAATCTTTATCGTTAGCCTTTGAATGGCCGTTAACGCTGAAAGATAATGCAATAGTATTAACGACGGTAATATTTAATAAGTGATAATTGATAAAAGGTAATCTTTATCGCTGGCCTTTAAATGCCTGTTAAACGATAAAATTTTATGGATAACAGATGTCGGATAGGATAGGATATGAGTAACAATAGAATTTCCTTGCAACAATTCGGCGAAAAATGAATAAGAAATTTACTATGGCTTAGAAAGTAACCTTCGACGGCCATCATTGCGAATCTCTATGTAGCAGTTTGCATACTATTTCGTAACGATCGACGATTCTAGGAAATATTTTTGACCATTTCTATTATTGTTTTTATTATTATAAATTTACCCAAGGAATAAATTCTAAGATTAAAGTCTTAAAAGCATTAGCGCATCTAACGTTTTCGGATTTATTAAAAACTCTACCGCACTTGAGATTTGAACCCACGACCATTGAGTTGCTAGTCGAGACTCTTGCCTACTCGGCCACTCAGGCGAATGACTTTCTTTAAATCAAGATCTGTTGCTTGTTTATTTTGATTTGTTTCACTGATTGCATGACCCATCTTATCGAATTTCAGATCTAATTTTTACTCATCACTTAAGAATATATGCATGAAATTTCCTTTTATTTTAATCTCATTCTAGGAATTGATGAACTAGGACGAACGGACAGACATTATAAAAACCGAATGGGCGGATGGACGTATATCATTAATTACTAACAATCATAAAATGATAGGGTGAATATAGCTAAACTTTAGCATTCGAAAGACGGATGCACTGATATGCTTCAAGTTCAAAGTCGGACAGACAAACGAATGGACGGATGGCTAAACTTTTGTAACGGAACGACGAAAGGATAGATGTGTTGAAATTTTAAGACGTGCGGACTAATGCAAGGGCACTCTAAACTGTAATAACAAATGCGAGGACGGACAGATATGTTTAAATTCTAAAGACATGCACGGGAATGGTTAAACTCTAGTCAGCGATGGAAGGATGGACGTAAATGTTTAAACTTTGATAACGAATGGAAGAATGGACGAATATTTTGAAATTTTGAAACGTGCGGCCATGGGCATGGTTAAACTCTAATAGCAAATGGAAAGGATGGACAGATATGTGTAAACTAAATTGAATCTAAAATATATATGTAAATATATATATTTGTGGCAACATTTTTTTTTGCATAAGTAATGAATGGAGGAAGAGATTTAGTACACTTTAATAGTTTGATAAGAGTGATAAGATGAGGTGATCAGTAATGGTCCAGATAATGTTTTATATATTGGATGTTTTGCAATGGCTTCCGTGTGACAGGTATCTCCGAAGTTAAATTATTTTCCAAAGTGAATCCAAGCTTAGTCTTCTCGACTCTAAATCGCTTTCAATTTTATAGATAAATTTTTTATGTTAAGAAGTAAACCAACAAATTTTCATATCCAGGATTGTAAGTTTGAGGCAAGATCGGTTAATACTTTTTAACATGGCTTTCAGTTAATTGGTATTATCCAGTAAATGATATCATTAGCGATATTTGATGTAGATGTATATTGCGGAGTTGAACAAACCGTCTTATTTCATTGGTATGCGCATCTTGTAAAGGTTCCTAATATTCGCCTTCAACTTGGGTGCATCTGCTTTTTTATTTGCTTTAAAGCTTTCAGCTTTGCCACCCCAACATTCATTGTTTTCATCTTAAATATTTTTTTAACTTTGCTTTTTTTTGTTTTTTTTATTATTATTATTTTACATTTTACGTAGAGTTATGTAAATCCATCAAACATGCTGGGGTATGGGGTTAATGCGTTGCTTTTGAAGAGCAAAATAAAAATATGAAATACCTCTTGCTTATGGGATAAACTTATTTCCTTTATTCTTTTAAATTAAGTAAATTTACTTTTTAAAAGATAGTTATCAAGCAGGTGCAATAAATAGTTTAAACTTTCAACTTTGTTGCCTTAAAAATGTGTGCACATGAAAAAAATCAAAAAATAAAAAAAAAAAAAATAAATAAATTAAAGATTTTATACAAATTCTTAGGAAATCATTTTAAAGTAAAGAAAGCTTTAAAATCCACAAATAACTGAAATGCAAACAATAAAGTGATTAACTGACATACATATCTGAGATTTCTGAGACGGAGACAGACGAATGTAGCTCTAACATAAGGAAATTGCCCGTTGTTATGTGTGTAAAATCAGTTATGTGTACAAATAAACATATGCATATATATATATATATATATATATATATATATATAAATCTTGAATTATTTCTTCTTAACACGAAAGATTTTTCATTAATTGTACGCGTATTAAACGAACTGGGAGGCATTAGTTTAAAGTTACAACTACTAGGTTATTAACAGAATAATCAATCAATCAATCGGAAGGGAATCCTCTTCGTTGAACTAAAGCCTCCAATAGGAATAGAAACAACTGCTTATCGGGTTTTCTAAGCGATAGCCTTACCCTT